TCTCCCCTTATTCAACAATTTTGATAAGTAATTTAAAGTTAGGCTTTGAGAATAACAAATCTTGATTATTAAAAAAAACATTATTTCAGGTAACACATGATTTTTAAACATCTAAAAGTCTGCCATTTGTTCATGCATTGAATATTGCTGCCACTTCTGGTTTGGTGCTTCTGCTATGTATTTAAGATCCTAGATAAAATACAAAACAGAATCTGCAATATTATTGGTCCTGACCTAGCATCTCAGCTTCAATCATTTTCCTGCCATCATAACATTGCTCTCATATGTTTTTTCTATAAATATTTTCATGCGAATTTTTATGATGAAATTTCCTCTTTGGTACCTAGACTTTATGAATTTACATGTACTATTGTCATTTTACAGTCAAAATGGCTAGATGTAACTGTAATTTCTATGCTAACAGTTTCTTCTCTTACACTTCTTGCTTGTAAAACTCTCTTCCGGCTTCTTACTTTCCAGTCAATTTTGAACAATTGAGTGCAACATCAATCGTTATCTTCTGTCTTAATTTCTATTCTTTTTTATTGTTCTTATTTCTTAATATTATTTTTTTCACATATTCTCTCTCAATCGGTAACCCCTTGCATCTCAGTGGCTTTATTCCCTTGCTTAAGGTGAAATGTGTTTTTTTTTTTTTTTTTTTTTTTTTTTAAACTTCATTTGAGATTATAGAGTCTACAACCCCATGCTGCAGTTCATTGTGAACTCTATAATGACAATATCGTAATGCACATCATCAGGGCTATACATGGTTTTAAATTCAGAGTTCTCCTTCTCCAACCATGGCTAGAGAGTCCAGTCTGGCTTGCTATTTAAGAGGTGGAGGAAAAATGGAGTCACCAATTGTTGCAATACACTGCATGTCCATTATTAGAAAAATAGTAGCCATGTCACTTATCCAAGCCTTTTGTCTCTAGGTAGATTTTGTCAAGATTTTTTTTTTTTTTCCTTAACTGGATTTATTTTTCTGTCTAGTTTTCTAGTTTGTCTCCTTAAAAGATAAATATTTGAAAATCAGATCAGTTGCATAGAAATCATCACAGGTGGCATGATAGTTGCAGGCATTCAAAGTCCTAGTTTTTAAGGACCCTTTTTGAGTATTTTCATGACTCCCTGCTGTTAATTTTATTAGTAAAAAAAACAGGACCTTCCCTTATCCAATTCAGCATTTACTTTTTCATTAAATCAAAAACAGTTTAAAAAAAAGAAAAAATAAGTCACTCTCATATCTGCTGTAGCAAAGGGCAAATGAAATCAGGAGAATCTTTGATACCAGAACTTGATAGGTAGGAAAGTGTACAACTGGGAGGAAGATATCCTTTGTTCTTGGTTTGTGGGAAGGAACGGCTTCTATCCCTCACTGTCATTAATCTTTCTTGACCTCTATCACCTCTGGGGTGTCAGAAAGAAACTGGCAAACTACCTTTCTGTCTAGCTGCAGGTGATTTATCCTTAGACAAGCCTCTAATTCCTATTTTGTCTACCTTGTCTTCTATTATGATTGGTAGCGCCATGACCTGACACTTGGAGGACTGCAATGCTCACCCCCATCCCGGCCCTTATCTACACCAATATGGCTGCACTCACAATTTGCTTTGACATTTAAAAAAAAAAAATTGATTCATTGATGGGGGTGGTGGGCAGGTTGTTTGCTTTAGTCTGGCTTTAAATCTTTGTTTCTGGGTTTCTTTAACCTCCTGTCTATCCCAAATTTTCAAGATGAATAAACATGACACTGCTGTATCGATATAGATAATAAAAAAAAAAAAAAAAAAATGCAATTAAACTATAAGTTTGGCTTTCTGTTTGAGTAGATGTGGTTCTACAGAAGGATGCTGAGTATGCCAAGGACTGAACACGTGAATAACAAGAATGTTTTAAGGAAAATAGAAACAAAGAGGAGATACTATTTTTTTCTTTTTTCTCTAATCTTCACCCAATACAAGGCCCAAGAGCCGCTCAAGGTAGAGGTTTACTGTGTAATGTTGTATGAGCATAAGAAAAGGCAACAAGTGCGGTTCATGAGGCTATATAGGAAAGATAACAGTTAAGCTGAGACTTAGAGATCAAGACTGTAGTGAACAGGAAAACATTGTGCCAGGAGTCTGTCTGAGTGGAACTTACTACTTATTAATGGAATATAAAGGAAACAAGAATAGTTCTTTCTTGTATACATGGCTTGGTGAGTACCAGCTGCAACGGTCAGGGCTAGGGAAACCAAGCAATGTAGCTTGCTAAAACACCTGTCATGGAAACAATGATGGAGTAGTAAGAGGCTTGCAACATTTTGTCGGGGGGGGGGGTTGTAAGGTAGAAAATAATTCATCACCCACAAGTCTTTGCGTAGACACTTTTGAACTCTCTCAAAACAGTCAAGTTGAGGACTGGGCAGCTCTAGTCCAGATATGGCATCAATACTCCATTTTTGGTCTGGTCTTAGAATCAGAAGGGGTCATGTAATGAGAAAAAAGGGCTTGGAGAATCTGATACTTGCATGACATTGAAGGGAAGAGGGACAGAAGAAAGTAGCAAATAACCTACCTAATTGCTGTAACCTAGGGAAAGGTTACCGAATAAGAATAACCAAAATGAAGATTGGAAATGGAACGATAATATTTATAACAGAAACAACATACAAGATTCGCCAGTAGTGTGTAGTAAGTAATCAACTGCTAATGGTGAGCTGGAAGTGAATCAAAGTGAATTCCAGTGAAATCTCAAGTGGAAGAAAGCATACAGTATATACCACTGTATTTATAAGAATTGGGACACACCCATTATCGTCCATAGGTAACTGTATAACACTAATAAAATTGTGCAAATGGTTGGCAGAACAGACTTTGAGAGATATCAAAAAGACAAAACTTACTCAGAGCAACATAAGACAGGAAGTTGTGGATAGCTATCATCGCACGTCTTGACAGGACATGGCACGTAGAAGAGAAAAATATTTGCTGATTCACAGTTTTAGAAAAAAATAATCCACTCGAGAATTATTACGACCGAGCTGAATGTACTTTTGTTTCAAAAGTGATTAATTTTATTTTCGTAAATTAGTTTCTGACATTCAAGAATACAACATAGATGAAAAACGGTATTATTACAAATGCTGATATTTAGCAAGTGTACTTGAACTGAAGAAATGACATGTGTTAAATTTTTTGTTTCATCACTACCCTGATGATAGGGGACTGGAATTCATTAACCTTTTAGCCCTCTGTAATATTCATAAGTATTTCATCCATTGGGTATAAGTGGCCAGGCATCTGCAGTAGCATTATCTTTGGTTTTCAGTTAGTCATTTTCCTGTTTCCATAGTAGGATATGACAACACTAGTGCAAAATTCAATCACGCTATTGTCTAATGATCAGAGTTGCGTGGAGTGTCTGTACAAAAATTTTGTTTGACAGATGAAGTCACCTACATACAGAGTGCTAAATGTTAAAATCCGCATCGCCTACAATAGGACACCTTAAGGCCTGTTTCTTTGCTGTCCTGATAACAAACTGAAGTGCATTAAAATGGAGGAGGCAACCTAAGAGTCTTCCCCCAATTATGGGTTAAATAGTAGGTCTCGTAATAGGAAAAATCATTATTATCTCCCCAAATTATTAATGTAATATTCCCTCCCCTTGCAAAAAAAAAAAAAAAAAAAAAAATGAATTATTCTTAAAATCCCAAAAGTATGTTTTGTCCTTAAATAACCCAGAAAGGGTTGATAAGTCGTAAGAAACAAATCAATCAATCCCAATTAGGGCAGTTAATGTTAGCAAACATTTGAATTTTGTGCTACCCCCTCTGATTTAGGCCAAAATAAGATATTTTTTATCTTATTTTCATGAAGGCATAACATAAAGATGTCCGCCCTTCATACAGGATAGAACATTGTCCAAATTGATACTTAAAATGTGTTAACATTTTTTTTGGAACAAGATGAAAATATTCACACAATTATAATGTACTAAAAAGAAAGAAAACTGTTATGGCATTTGTTACATATTCAGTTTAAAAGCCACCATCCAAAATCTGTTAAGATAAAAAGTCATTTTTCTGATTTGAACTTTCCTTCTAAACCAACAAAATTCAGCTCTGATGTTTTTTGTTTTTGTTTTTTTTTTTTTCTTAGAATTTTGCACGAAATCCAGCATTTGAAAATTGAAGATGAAAAAGCCTTTAGTTCAAAAGATATTTTTTATATTTTTATTTCCTTGTTCACTGAATAAGCAAAAGTAGATCTACAAAGAAATTAACCCAGGGAATAAAAGCTGTCACTTTTGATATTTGTCGTTACTTAAAAGGATTTGTCTTTGAATAAACATCATCTTGTCCAATGATAAATTAATGATTCTCTAACAGTCGTTCTTTCTTAATGTTTGTCACTTTTTATTTGTACTGTCTGCAACAATCTTTTTTTTTCTTCTTTTTGTTTTTAACAAAAAAAAATACTTTTTTTTTTTTTTTAAATATTGCTCCATACACTGCTTGCTGTATTTTGTTCTAATCTGTTGTTAGGAGCTGATGTTCATCTGACAATCTTTTTTACATTGTGCAGTCTCTATTTTATTGTTCTACTGAGAAAAAAAATATTCTCTCTTCTGCACACCCGCTTTTTTTTTTTTTTTTTTTTTTTTTTTTTTTTTTACTGTAGCTATTTTGTTTTGAAGAGAAGTTTTTTTGCTTTTTTTTTTTAATGTTCTTTTAAATTTCTGCCCTTAAATAATAATAATAATAATAATCAGCTATTAAATGTGTTCCTGATTGACAAAAATCAGATATTTATTGAATATTAATTTCTTTTAATCATTTGTTGTCCTTTTTTAGTTTTACATGTCTTTTTAAATAAAAAAAAAATTTAAAAAATTGCTACCCCCCAGCCCCACCCATGGAATGGTCCAACTGTCAAACCTGCTGCTGGGGGTACTCTCTCCATTGTTGATTTTTGGTGACCTTTCTGATTGAAATGAAAATTATTTTGTAGATGTGCGAGTAGAATCAGACCACTTCCCTATAGTGGGTGAATTTAAAGGGATGTTGGTTGCAGATAACTCTGAAATTGAAAATCATCCAGTAAATGGTAAATATTTGTGCACTGTTGTGGTTAACGAGTCAGATAAATGTAACAAGTGTTCAGCATGTGCGTAAACAATCAGCAAAGTTCCTAGCTGCAAAAAAAAAAAATTCTTCTCCGTCTTGATTAGGAGTTCAGGTGAATTGACATCTGTTACCTGTCAATTTTCAGTTGCTTATTTATTTTAATAAACTAATAAGAAACTTATGTACTGTATTTTAATATTCGGGCAATTTTGAGAGATGACCATTTATCCAGATAAATTTGACCTGTAAATTTTAAACGTTTTCTTTATATACTAAATATGTTTATTTTATGTGTGTCAATTGATATGTAAGGTCAAGTTTGAGATTTGATAGAATAATGAAACTAGTATAAAAATGAATGAATTTTAATTCTCTTCAAAATTATGAGAATCGATCGATTGATAAGTCAGGTTTTCAATCCTATAAAACAAGTTTTAGAACTGATAATGAAACTTGTATAAAAAATGGAGTGAATTTATTTTCTAAACAATTACAAGAGTTAATTGAAAAGTAAGGTCTCCAAACAGATTTGAGGCCAGATTGATAATGAAACCAGTATCAAAATGTAATGCATTTCTTATCAAAATTATGAGGTTTAACAATAACTAATGTGTTCAAACCTATTGTTGTTGTAATAATAATAATAATAAAACTGTCAGTATACAGCAGTTAATAATACCCTTTACATGATCAACTAGAGGCTCTGAAAATATAAAACTTTTAAAAAGTTATAGATTCCCGAAGCTATATCTCATCACCAAGGAGGTTTAATTTTATATCATTTGAAAGAAAATTAATTTTCTTTTATATAAAATCAACTTGTAATACATGATTTTCAATGGCTTTCAGATTTTTCAACAGTTTCAATCAAGACTCCAAGGAGTCTTAAATTTGAAGTGCTGTTTGGTTTAAAGATAATGTTTGAGCTCTTGCATTTAACAGTCTCTGAAGCAAGACAGCACACCAATTCATTTTTATTATTGATTAAAATATGGGGAGGAAATGAAAATATAGATCCCATATTAAATACAGTATATACAAGAATGCACATATTGATTATAAAGTTCCATCTTTTTATGTCTTTTTCTGATTCCTGTTGGAGAAGCTCATATCATGTCAGACGACAATCAGTGCAGACAGTTGATTGATCTAAATTGTCTATTTGGGTTTTCAGGGTAATGTGTTATATTGTGCAACTGACTGAGTTTGCAAAGTTTGAAATACGAAAATTCAGGATTTCAAATAGACTGTAAATCAGATTATACACACATAATGTAAGGTATTTGATAGTAAAATAAATTGCTTTGAAAGGTTTGTCAAAATAGTTGCTGATAGCATCTTTTTGTAGGTCTTGTGAGAAATGTTTAAAATTAGGATTTTTCTTTTTTCTTTAAGGTTGTAATTCAGGTTTTATTAAACCCAACTTCTGTTTTTAAGATTTGCCCAAACCTATATTTACTGTATTTCTTCAATAAAATAAACTGTAAAACTACAAAGATAGACTTCATCTGAAGCTAATCGATTAATAATCAACTACAATTATTTTATAAAGGATTATAAATTTAGAGAAAGTTACGAGTGAAATTAGCTTCTGTAATTTTTTATAAATGCTTAAATAGAATTTGTTTTTTATTTTTCATTAAATTTTGGTAGCCACTATTTACATAATTTATATATATGTATATATGAATTTTTTTTTCTTAAGTTTTAATTATTCAACAAAATTAATATATAAATTTTCGCTGATCTGATTGTTCACCACATTTTGAATTTGTCTGCAATAACTTTTTGTGTGTGCGTGTTTTTGTTGTGTTCTTTTTTTTTTTTTTTCCTTCCTCCTCTGGTATTTATATCAGCTATTTTTACAAACCCCTTTTATTATTACTTAAAAGACCTAAATGTCTTTTTTTTTTCTTTCTGAAGCCTGAACAATCAGTCATAACAAAATTCTTCTCTCTAATATTCCTAGATTCTTCTTATTCTTCACACTAACTTCATTTTGGCATTAGACTTATTTTTTTTAATTTTGTCAGTCATACTATCAAAGAAAAAGGCTTACTAGCATTTTTTTATTGCAATTAATAAGCAACATGTTTAAATGTTTATTAGTTGCCTTTCATTTATTTTCAGTTTATAGGGCTAGTCTTATACTGGCATTTTAGACTCCTCCCTTCCAGTTAATGTTTCAGTTTAAAGCATATAGGGAGAAATTATGTTCCAGGGCCTGGCCAACTTCCCAAAATCTATCTAAATCACCAAAGGTTCTCTATTTTTTTTTTTTTACATGTATTAAGAAAACTTTAGAAGTTTTCAGTACCCCCTTGTGTTGCCTTCACCTTCTCGGTCACTCTGGTCTACTTCATAATTTATGCTGACAGATGAAACACAAAAGGTTTTACTGGGATCCATCCCTACAACCAGTAGTTATCTTATTGTCTTTAATTTTCTAAATATCCAAAGGAAGGCTGGAAAGAATTTGGGGCACAAGAGATTTATAAAAAAAAAAAAAAAATAAAATAAAATCTGTCGGGATTGATAGATAAAAATCCATTACCTTAAAAGATAAATAAATATTTTGATACTTCCATCATTTGGTTAGATTTAGGGAAGTGGGTTTGATTGAATAGTTTTCAGCACCTCCCCCCCTCCCCATCATAATACATAATTAACAGGGGAAATAATTATTGTAAAAGAAAAAAGTACTTAATTTGTTAATTTAGTAATATTTATTTGAAGGGTTTCTGCAATGTTTTTGATTTGACCCCTTTCCCCAAAATTAATCAAAAGACCAAACATCAGAACTTCTTTTTGAATCCATCCTTGGCCAGGTCAAAAAAACTTTGCAGTACCTCACCATATTTACATCTAAGAGAGAAATATAATTTTTCTTTCTCTACAGACATCTTCCACTTTATAAATATGGCTGATTTTATTTTATTTATTTATTAAATTTCTCAAGTCTTGATACTCAAGAAATCAAAACTGAATTCTTCTCTTTGTTGTCTCGTGGTTAGTGTTGTATTTGTGTTTCTTTGTTCTTTCATCTTCAAACAGGTTCTCTACAGGATGACTTGGTGAAAATTCTTCATTACTATAAAACAGTGTCTTAACTAAACCTCCTCTCTCACATATCACTATTAGAATTTCATTGTTTTTTGTGGACATCTACAGGTTAACATTTTTATAATACCATACAGTGTGAGCGGGAAATATTTTGATACAATTCAAATAAGAAAACATCAATGCAATCAACACAATAAATTTACTTATGCAAAAACTTATGGTTAGCTAATAGAAATAGTCTTTCTTTCTTTTTTTTTCCTTCTTTTTTTTTTCCTTTCTTCTTTTTTTTTCCTTTCTTCTTTTTTTTTCCTTTCTTCTTTTTTTTTTTTTCCTTTCTTCTTTTTTTTTTTCCTTTTCTTTTTTTTCCTTTCTTTCTTTTTTTCCTTTCTTCTTTTTTTTTTTCTTTTTTTTTTTTTTTCCTTTTTTTTTTTCCTTCTTTTTTTTTTCCTTTTTTTTTTTTTTCCTTTCTTCTTTTTTTTTTTTCCTTTCTTTTTTTTTTTTTCCTTTCTTCTTCCATATTACTACTGGCTACACACACCAGATCACAATTAATTTTTTATATTTTCATTAAAACGTTAATATGGGGTTCACTTTGCTATGTAAAGTCATTGTAGATTGTTAACAAAATCCAAAACATGATATGCTCATATGATGTCATTTATTAAAATATAAGAAATAAGCAATTTTGAAATTCATAAACTGGAAGAGTTTTTTTTTTTCATATTGTTATTGATTACACACATCTGATTAATGAATTTAAAAAAAGTTATTTTTTTACCTGTTAAGAAAACACGTCATATGAGCATATTTGTTTTGACTTCTATTTTGACTTACAATGAATTTGTATCACAGTTTTTGATGCAATTTAATAAAATTTATAGATATTTGTGACCTTTAGAGCTTACTGTATAGTGAAAGGAAAAAATTAATTTCTAATCATAGAAACTTATTTAAACAAATCTATACACATAAGAATATAGTGTAGTTACATTAGTGAGGTGACAGCTACCAGTATGGCAAATGGAATTGGCGGTCAGAGATCAAATTTCAGCTGAGGTTTTTGTTGTGTTCACTCTGCACTAATGCTTCTGAGAAAGGGTATAAAATCCTCTCTTCCTCTCTCTCCAGCTATATGAAAAATAGCAAAGTAGACTGGACTGTGTAGCCTTAGTAGGGCAGCCAGTTTAGGAGAAGGTAAACACTAACTTCACCTCCCCTCCCCCAATGCCAGCACATCAAAAGCCAGCATAGTCAGGTAAGATCCATTATTCCCTCTGTCTGACAAATGTGATGGGTTTGGGGAACTGAGTTCTGCACAGACTTAGAAAATGGCTGATAATCAAACACACAATGTTTGATTACAATGAATGGCTTGTAATCAAACACACAATGTTTGATTACAAGCATTCACTATAAAAAGTTATTAAATGTTTAAATACCTGATATTTTTTATCCCCCCCACACACATCAAAGGAAAAAAACTTTTAAGCATCATCGGAAACTCTGATATATATATATATATATATATATATATATATATATAATAAATAATGAAAATATTTAGCATTTCTACATACCAATTTCACAACACATGAGTTTCATGTTGCTAGCAATAAGTTGGAATCTGAGGCTAGCTTGCCACAGAAATACAAGCTATTTTCATTACTTTCTTGTATCTCTAAGCTTTGGCTTTTGGCATTGATCTCTGGGTCTTTTACTATTGTAACTGTATGCTTTTTGATTATTCTCTGTCTGTATGTATGTGTGTGTGTGTATATATATATATATATATATATATCTTTCTAAAGAAAGAGATTGCTTTTCCATTTGTTAATCGACAGAGTTTTATTACTTAAATGATGTTATTTTTAGTGGATACTCATATTTGAGTAGATGCTCTGTTTATTCATTAAACAG